CAGAGGAGAAGGAGAGATAAGGATTGGGGGTGGCAAGGATTTGTTGCCCCCCACTAGTTTTTCCCTTGGTGCAGATCTGTGAGGATATCCAACGCCATGAGGGGTGGCTTTGACCTCTGGAGTGAGTTTGGGGGGGTCCTTCTACACCCACCGCATGGGGTCACCTCCCCAGATCTGCGCCCACCAGGGATGCTGTTCCCCTGCAGCACATCCTGCACCTTCTCATTGCCTCGCCCAGCTCCATAGGGCAGCAGCCAGCACCTTGAGGAGCGGCCCAGGACGCCATCCCAATCCAGTCCCCACCTGCCTACTCACACCTGGCTCCTCAGCACCACCACTGCCCTCCGCCCCCTTCCCAGGCAGCTCCTGGCCACGTGGCAGTGAGGAGGGGGACAACGGGCGGCCTCCCCCATCCCTCCCTCCCCTCCTCCTCCTTCCCTCCACCTTCCCTGGCGGCTCCCTAGAACAAAACCACAGCCTTGCTGGGCCTCCGTCCCCTCACCACGTGCGGACCCCGGCACGCCCCGGCCCCCGGCTCCTCTGAGTGACTAACGGGAGCCGCTGGGGCGCCTGGGGCCGTCCCTTGGCAGCAGGCCTTCCCTGCAGCAGTGAAATCACGTCTGGAGAAAGCACGCGTGGAGCCATCCCCAGAGCGAGGAGGATCTTACCCTGCCGGCTAGCTGGCCGCCCCCTCCCAGGCAGTGCAAAATCCCCATCCCGTGTCGGACAGAGGGATGCGCGGCCTACGAGAGGGCTGGCAGTCTGCCCCACGGGAGGGCAATGAGGCCTCAAGTGCCCATGGGGAACCTCCTATCACCTCCTAACACACTCATCGGGGCTGCGGAGCCACGGAGCCACGGACAGGCCGCCTCTGCTTGCCGGCACGTGGGTGACTAATGCAGCTCTTTAAACGCCTCTGCCGAACGGGAGCGTGGCTCCAGGTTAAGGTTTAATCCTCTTCCTCTTCTGCCCGTGCTCTCCCCTCGCTGCAATGCCATAGGGACGGTGTTCCTGCCACACAGAGCTGGTGGGGATGCAGCCGGGAGCGTGCCGAGGCCGCTGCTTGGGGCTATAAAAAGCACTGCTGTGGAATGCAGCACGCTGCTCCGGGAGGAGAGGGAAAAAATAAAAATAAAATCAGGTGCTGAATGAGTCAGGGAATCGCAGCGCGCGCCTCTGGCTCAGGTCTGTCCCTTCCTCGATGCTTTGACAGCCAGCAGCCTGGAGACTTCCCGGCGAGGCCAGGGAGTGCAGAGCGGGGTTTTGGCATGGCCCCGAGGGCGGAGGACAGCAGCAGGGCTGGTACAGTCAGGAGGATGACTGGCACCTCCTGCCCTCGCCCAGCCCAGAGGGGCCGGATCCAGGCACACAGCCTCCTGGCCACTGCCTTTGGCAGCTGGCTTTGGGCAGTGTTTGTCCAAAGGATTAACCGTGCCCTGGTTTACGGCTGGAGGCTCCGTCTCCGTAGGATGCTGCACCCATGGCAAGAGTGGGCACTCTGCTGTACCCCCAGCCCACGGCACCCCACTGGGGACCTCACCCAGAGCCAGGGGAAAGCACATTGAAGGGAGCTCCCCGCCCCGGGACATGCAGTGTTTGTACAAGCCAGAACGGGGGAAGGCCAGATTAATTTTAAACCTGAATAAACAAGGGGAGAAGGCGATGCCAGCACTCACTCTTCCCTGCAGCTCCCTGAATCCAAGGATGCATCCAAGCACAGTCTGGTGCTGGGTCCCAGGATCCTGGGGACAGTCCCAAATCCTCCTCCGTCATGGGGCCTCCCTCATTTCAAGGAGCTCCCAGCTGAATCAGTGCTGGCAACGGGATGTGCTCCCAAAATCCCTCCAGCTGCAGTGCTGGGTCTCCAACCCGGGGTATCACACGGAAGCCCCCGTTCCATGCCATGTCATCCGGCTGGGGACAGCTGTCCCTATGCCAAGCGCCCAAGCTCTGTGCACAGCATCATCTTGGGAGACAACCAGGAGTGGAAAAAAAAAAAAAAAAAAATTGTTTGTGGGTCAAGAGGAGAATGGAAAAAAAAGAAAAATACAACCAACAAAACACATTTTGAACTTTCGTGCCAAAAGGAAAATGAAAACCAAAACATTTTGTTCTAAATGATAGGCCTTGTTTAGTTTTCAGCGGTTTTACTTTTTTAAAATGGTTCGAATTAAATCGAGCTAAATTTGGCTTCCAAACATTACCTTGGGGTGGGGAATAAAATAAAATCAAAACGTCTCATTTGGAAAATGTTAGAATGAAACGCCATGGCTTTTCCAGCCTGGCAAGAGCCCAAGCCGAGTGCTGAACCCAGCCTCAATTCACAGCGTGTGCCGGCCTCCCAAAAACTGCCTTTTTTTCACTTTTTCCCCTGCAAATGAAGCAGCTGCCCAATGTTACCCGGTGGGCGGCTGCTGGTGCTCCCGGCAGGGACGTCCCCGTGCTGCACTGTGCCGATGCAGCCTGTTGCAGCCAATAGCTTTGCACCCTGGTTCGACCCGTGCTGCTCTTTAAAACTTCTGTTTAAATGTCTTTTCTATTAGGTCAGCATTCCTCCTTCGCACAGGGAAGGTGGTTACGGGCTGCAGTCCGGCACACAGGCTCCTCAGTGCTGGCTGCTGGATCTCTGTCAGCCAGCAGACTGCCCACGCTATTAAATTACTAAGAAAAATGGATCGTTTCTCCAAGCATTAGGTGCATTAACCTCTCTCGTGGTGGTGAGACTCACTACAGGCGAGCTGTTAATTGGAAATTCATAGAACTGGCCGCAAAAGTTTCCTTCATCTCCCCTCCACCCTTTCCTTGACGAGGCAAAGGATGGGGGGAGGCATTTGCTCCCTCCCTGCAACACAAGGAAAGTAGCTTGCAGGGACCTTTCCAGGCACTGGAGGAAGCAAATGTACAGCCGGCAGAGTCTGGTCCTGGAGCTGCCTGGTGCTAACGTCGACTCCACCATGTGTCAACCCACTAGTGACACATCTCAGAGGGACGCTGCCTGGAGACAATGTCCCAGCACTCTCCCAGCTGCATCTCAGAGGTGAAAATAGATCCACGGACCTTGCCTTGCTCACATCCTTCATCCTTATGCCCTTCATCTTTACATCTCAGGCACAGCATAAACATTAACAGTTATCTGAAGGTTTCCATCCCAGCCAGTGTCCTGGGTTGCTTGGGAGCCAAACCTCCGAGCACTGCATGGCATTCCTGGAGCAGTCAGAATTGCAGGGATCTCAGTGCCTGTATGCAACCTCCAGGGAGGGAGCAAGGAGGAGTTTGCAGCCAGTATCAAGAGGATGCTCCAGGAACACATCCCCTCTGGAGTTCACACCTGGCACTGCTGCGAGGGGCTGCATTCTGCTCCTTGTGCTACAAGGAGCCCCAGGACACTGCAATGCTGCACATGGAGAGTCCAATGCACCCATGTTGTTTTTGAGTGCCATGGGTGCAAGGACAACAAGCATTACTCTGGCTGGAGGACATGAAAAGAACATGAGGCATGGACAAGGGGAAAAGGATGCTTCCCCAGTGCTGTCAAGCTCCAGCTGCAAGACTGCGAAACTCAAAGCTTTGATGGGACAGAGCAGCCTCAGGGGAGCTGTGAAGCAGCCTCCTGGGAGCCTCACAAGGAGCTAAAAGTCAAAAGCAGCCCGAGGGTGGCCAAACCCTCTGGGTTTCGGTGTTGGCCCTTGCAAGAGGGCGATGGAGCAAGAGCTGGTTCAGCCCACTAGCTCCTCCTAAGACATAGGGCCTTGGGCAAAACTCATGGAAAGCGAAGGACAGACTCCTGTGTACTTCCCCAGGGGCTCAGGATCTGTCCCAGCTCTGCACGAAAGTATGGTGAGACGCCAGCTGGCCCAGGCGCCGTGCGTGACAGTGGCTTTCGCAAAGCAAAGCAGGGACATGGCAGCTGGGCCAGCCCCAGGGGACCTTCGCAGGGCCGTTTCAGCACAGCTTTCTGCTCTGCAGCTCCACTGTTGCAATTTGACATGACATGGGGTGACGCTCCAGCTGCCCCATGCAACAGCCCCCTGCCACCTTTTTGTTTTTTCCAGCTGCCTTTGCAGGAAGGCAAGGTCTGAATCACTCGTCACAGCATCACTGAATTCAAGAGGCACTGACCTCCATCAAATTGGAGTTGGTGAGGTCCCAGCTCCAGGGATTGATCTGGGCAGAATGGAGTGCGCAGTCCCAAAGGAAATGGCTGGTAAAAGTAAAAGAAGGCAAAGGAAACAGCTGAACCAGCACAACTGTGCCAACCCTCTCAGCACAGGGACATGCCCTGCATGGGGACACTGCTTCTTAAGCGCTCTGCAGGCAAATCCAAACCCCTGTGCCAAAACCAGGCACTTTGGGCTGCCCGCACAATGCTATGCAGCATCCCCAAGATGGGTTGAGATCCAGGGGCTAAGCCAGCCCTGCTGCTGTGGCGTATGGGGAGCTCTGCCTGCTCGTGGCTTCTCTGCCCCTGCCCCTTAGTATGTCTCCAGCATCATTTTGTAAACCAGGCTTGGTATCCCTTGTTTTCACTTAAAGAGCTTGGGTAAAATAGAAAATGCTCAAACGACCTTCTTTCCACTGTCAGGATTTCATTAGATGAAGGAGCCCTAAACTTTTCCACCCCTCCCTATAAGGAAATCTCTGCGGGGCCGTAACCATTTTTATTATGCTGTTTCTATTTCTGCCCTCTCCATATTGAGAGGAGAGGACCAGAGCCCGGCAGCCTCTGGGGAGTCCTGGAGTGGATTCCAAAACCCCACCAAACGCTCTCAGCATCAGCCCTTCTCCCCACATCCAACCCTCCTACCCACTGCCACAACCACCACGTTGTCCACAGCAAGGTCTGCACGAACCTCCCCAGTGGCTACAGCCCAGCGGAAACCCAAGGATTCATCATTTTTAATCTCTCTTCCCCAGGTATGTTTTCCCACTGGTTCAGTGCACGACCCTACCTGTCACCCCCTGCAAAGCTCAGCATCATGTCCACCCACACCAGCTCTCACCAGAGGTCCATCCAGCCTGGCTGCCATCTTCACATGCATCTTCAGAAAATGTGTATGAACAGATGTGGCCTCTCCCCAGCCAGACCCTCCAGCAAACCCTTCCAAAATCCCTTGTAAGCTTTTTCAGCAATGACTGATCTCTGCTGGCCCCCGTCCAGGCTTCGCTGGTCAGATGTGACCGCAGCACAGAATCCTGCTGGGACGGAGGTGAATCAGGTCTTAGAGCATAGCTCAATTCCTTGCCTTTCTCATCCCAAGCCTTCCCTACCCCAAACAATAGATACAGCAGAGATGAGGAGGTGTTTTCCCATTTTTTCCCCCATTTCTAAGACTCACAGCCTGAAGGGGAGGTGAAATTGCACCTCAGCCTCCATCCTTCCTCATTCATCCATCCATCCTCCTGCTGACACACACAGTGGGTGCTAGGATAGCCCAATGGAACCTGAAGCTCACCCCATCCCGAGGGCATGCCTCAACGACAGGATGACTCAGAGACCTGGGAACCAGCCAGACTCGAGAGACAATTCTGATTAATAAGCTGATCTCTGACACAGCAAACCTGCTTCTAATTTCCAGAGGAATTTTTCCTTTTCCATGGAAATGGTCCACTGGAATGTGACTCTTAGGGAAGACAAGTAAACCATGATTCTAAGACATCATCATACTTTTCCACCTTCATAGCCTGGCAGGAGGGCACACCAGAGAAAAGCATCACTGGGAAGCATGGAGATCTATCTGCTGGCAGGAACTGGGGCCACAGGGTCACTTTAAAGCCCTAGCAGGAGAGACTTGGTGATTCTCACACATGAGATGCTTTCTTAATCACAGGAACACTTAGCAAAACCAAAAACTCTCTAAACATCCCAGCAAGTCACCCCGGGGCTAATTCCTGATGCTGGTTTTGCATCAGCATTCCAAATGCCAAAGAAGGCCCCATTTCACTCCCCAGGGGAGAGCTCCCATCCAAGACATTCTCTGTCCTTGGCTATGGCTTTGGCATGGGTAGAGCCACCACATCCCATGACTGAACAAGAAGAGAAGAAACGAAGGCAAAAATGTACCAAATTTCCCTAGTGATGCTGTACAGGAGGAAAGCAGAGCCATGAGCTGGTTGGCACCTACCCCTCCCCCAGGAAGCATCTCACAAAGGGTATTCCTTCACAGCAAAGCCTGCAGTGAGGGGACAGCCTCATGTGCCCACGTGAAAGCACACTACACATACAGGCATACTGCCAGGCTCCGGGCACACTCTGCCCCAGCCCCACAGTGCACATCTTCAACATGACGATCACAACCTGCTGCTCTGGGCATTCAGACACCTCATCCCCAGGAATAATGTTCACCTGAATTCCAAGGTTCTGCCAATATAAGAATCAGCATTTTGCAAAGAGGGGAACCTGCCTTGCAGAGGGACCATGGCCACGGCAGGAGCCTTCTGGGCTGTCACATGGTTGAGGATGGATAGCACAAGCCAGAGATGGATGTGGAGACTGTAGGATGAAGTGAAGGTAACCCAGAGCTGATCCAGCACAAGGAGACAAGGTTTTCCTGGCTCGCTTAACCATATAAAACAACGAAGGTGCTATAAATACACCAGGGTAAACACTGGAGAGGGAGAAGAGGTCTTGAACTAAAAGCACAATGTTGGCAGAAAGCCACATGGGAATAAACTCTCCAGGAATATACTCGAGCAGGAAAACAGAGGGAGGTTTAGTCCTGTGTGAGCAGGAAGAGCCTTGGAGTTGCCTTTGAACACAACTTAGAGCAGAAAGGAAGTTTTTGAAAAGAAAGCTCCTGGCAGATGAGGATGCCACACACTGTTCCCAGCTGCGTGGGTTTCCCTACTCAGGGTCCAGAAGAGACGGCGCAGAGGGCAGGGCCGGGTGGCTTTAGGTACCTGCAGACAAGGGGACACAGGGTGGGTTCCAGGTGCCCGCCCAGCTCACAGCAGCTTCTGTTAAACCTGGCAGTTGCAAAAGGAAAGCGGTGCCGCTTCCAGGCTGAATACAGCGGGGAGGCTCGCGACGCAGTGAGTCATTCATTCATCCTTCATAAACAGGGCCTGCACCCGGCCAAGCATCCTCCTCCCCCCGCTGCTGTGACAGCCAGACTGCTTCTCCAGGACAAGGAAAAAGTGGCTTATCAGACAGGATCATGTTTTCCCTGCCCCGTGAGGCTCCCAGCAGACTGCAGCAGCTTGCAGACAAGAGGAAGGCAAATCCTGCTCCTCTCTGAGCTGGGCTGGTGGAGAACACAGTGCACAGTACCCGGGACAAGGTGGCCGCGTATCATACCAGCCCTGGCCCAAGGAGGAGCCCTGCCAGCTCACAGCTCCACGTGAGGCTGAAATGCCACAGGCTCCGTGCAGCCCCAAGCGTAACCACACCGTGACCTGCCCTCGGATAAACACAGACAGAGCGCAAACACCCCACCTCCTCCTCCAGCCAACGTCAGACGTGGCTGCAGCCTGCAGGAGCAGGTACCTGCTGGCACCCACCAGGCCAGCCCCACACTGCAGCAGCTGTGCCCTCCACACCGTTGTCTGGGGCATAGCGGCATGTCCCTGAATTGTTGGGTTTCTCCTTGTGGAGATCCGATTAAAGTAAAGCATCATCATAGAAGGGTCTGGCAGTTCTGGCAGTGAAGGCCAAGCAAAACTCAGCCCCTTTCACACCGTTAACCAGACTGCTGGCAGAACTCAAGAGGGGACCCAGGGGTTGACACGGCCAGGGAAGGTGACACAAGCAGCATCAGAGCTGGGCATCTGCAGGGGACTGAGAAGCCGTGATTGAGCCAGCCAAGGGCAAGGAGGGACAAGGCAGCCTTTCTATTGCCTGCGCATGAGAAAGCAGCTCTTTCCGCGCCTCTCGTAATTAAGAACAGATTTTCCCTCCCCAGACCCCCCAGGAGAAGAGAGGGCCCTGCCAGGGAGACCTGTGGCTCCGCAGGGGTGAGGGCACTTTGCCTGGTATTGTTCAAACCTTTCTCCAGAAAACTCTCCCCGGAGCTCAGAGAGGGAACTCCGAGCAGATAATGGGGAAGGGGTTCAAAACTTCCACCCCGGGACTTCTTCCCACCCCCCAAGCATCCCAAGGCGGGCGCTGAGCCCAGAAGGGCAGCAGCACCGGGTACCCGCAGGCAGGGAAAGCGAGGGGCTGCTCCCAGGACTGAGCGAGGAGCTACCTTTCCCCGAGCTTCGGGACGAGCAGCAAAACACCGGGCTAAGCCTCCTGCCTGCCTGCGCGGCGCCGGCACTGCCCGCAACCGGGCGCTCCTCACCGCGGCGGCGGGGAGTCACGAACGGGAGAAGCGGGGCTGCTCCTACCTTCCTCCGCGCCTCCCAGGCTATGTGTCCATGGTGCTGAGCCAGCCGGGCCGGGCCCGGCAAGGGACCGCGGAGTTGCACCGTCGGAGGGGAGCCCGCTCGGGGCTGGCTGGGGAGGCAACGCGGGCGGTGCGGGCCCGCCGCCGCTCAATTGGAGCAGGGCGCTGCCAATCTGCCGCCGCCGCTCCGGGACGCTTCCTGTTCTGCGAGCCGCGCCCGGCACCGGCACCGGCTCCCGCGGCTCCGCACCCCACCGGTGCACGCTGCATCAGCACGGAGCGCGGCCCCTGCGGCACACGACGTCCTCGGGCTCCCGATGTCCCGCGGGCACTTGGTTCGCCCAGCCCGTCCCGTTGGGGCTCACGGCTTGCGTTGGTCAGGGTACCCCTGGGATGAGGAGCTGCAGCCCCCTAGCATCCTAGCAAGGGGTGATGCAGTTTCTCTGCTCCTGGGATTGTAATTTATTTTGGGTTTTGTTGTTACAGGGGTTATGTCTTGTCTACTGGTAAGATGAAATCTGGCCCTCAGGCTTGTGTTCCTCAGCTGTGAATTAAAAAAAAAAAAAGAAGCCTCTTTCCTCCTCATGTCCTTCAGTACTTTTGCATTCCTCTTTTTCTAAGAAGCATCACCTCTTCATTGCCCTCCCTGCACTCCCTTGGAATTTTTTATTTTTTTTTTTTTTCATTAATGTAAATATTTGCAGGAGGAGTAACCATGATGAAATTCTGCAGCGGGAAACCATCCGGTGAAAACCCACAGGGACTTCTCCTCTGCTACCTGGGGCAACACACACTCTGGGATCTCCCAGGATGGGCTGAAGACCCCAGGTGAGGTCAGCAAAGCTGCAGCTAAGGGAGCCCCTTGCAGACCAAGCACTACCACATGCCCGGGCAGAGAGCCTGTGCAGAGATAAGAGCCATGTGCCTATGTGAATGCAGCATCCACGCAGCACAACTCCAGCTGTCTTACAATAGCAGAGTGCACTGCAGCCCACCTGGAATAAGCGAGGTGTGTTTGCATTACAGCCCAACTCTGCAACCCTGTGTTAACAAAGCGTTCCTTGCCTGCATCATCGCATTCCTCTGCAACCACTCAATAGCACCCTGCTACCTGCTCATGCTCTGCAACCTCATGATAACAAGCCCGTGAGTCATCTCACCTCCCATGTAATCCCGCAGTAACAAACTGGTGTTTTCCTTTGGGCCAACCCTCCTGTACAACCCTACAATAACTGAGTGCCCCGAGGCTGTGCACGCTGCCATTGCCGCAGCAGTGCTGGTGCAAGCGGTGCTCTGGGGAAGTGGTGTAACCCACAGGGAAATCCCTCCCTGTATGCAGCCTCTTCTGCCTCCTGCTCCAGGGTATTAATAAATGCAATGATTGGGATATGAGGTGTTAAGGAATTCAATGAGCACTATCCAAGGGGCAAACTAAGCTGTCTCCCAGGGTGGTAGTGCTGGAGAATGAGGAGTCCCTTCCCTTCGGTTCTCCCATGTGGTTGGGAGAAGCATTGTTTTTTGCAGCTCTTTGCAAATGCAGTAGTTTCCCTAGTCTAAAATGGGGACTTTGGGAGCAGTAGGGTGAGTGTGCCCAGCCCAGCACGCACACAGGCTCCGCGATGTGGGCATGCGCTCGGCTGTGGTTGAGGCTATGTGCCCAAACTGCCCAAGGAATGTTGCAGCTTGGCACATCTGCTCGTGGCCTGGGCTGCAACCTCGCTGGCCACATGTGGCCACATCTGCCCTGCCTGTGCCACAAAATGCTGGGGCCATGCCAGGGCTTGGGATGTCCCTCCCTGAGCTATCCCTATGGCCTCTGAGGTGCTTTGAACATCTGTTCATGGGGAT